CAAGTCCAAGAAACTTCAATGGTCTCTATCCAACCACCAATCCAAAATTATTATCCTCGACCCACTGCAATTGACCTCTAATTAGAAGAACGACATTTCAATGCTCCTTTTTCTTATTCCAGAAGTGATCTCTGAGAATGGAATATTGATGGAAAATCTGATTATCAGATCCTTAATTATTGATTAGACTATAAACTTTTACTAGTTAATTTACATGTGTGAATGTAAGAATGTATGTATGTTTCACAAGATTGATGTACTTAGATGACCATTAATCCAATGTTCAACATATATGCAGTTGAAATTTTGTGAAAGTTTTACCTAAGTTTACCTAATGAATCATGTCTTCAAATAAGATTATTTTATGAAAACCTTAATTTTTAATAAAATTTCTAAGACAAGAAATCTAATTTGACTTTTCAATACATTGAGGCTATTCACATGATTTCAATCATTGAGTAAACCTTTTTAAAATTTATTTTAAAAAGAGAAAATTACTCATCAGTGCACCAGTGAAAAAGTTATTATATATTGATAAAGAATTTTATATCTTTAATTATTATATATTGATAAAGAATTTTATATCTTTAATTATTAAATATTGATAAAGAATTTTATATCTTTAATTATTATATATTGATAAAGAATTTTATATCTTTAATTATTATATATTGATAAAGAATTTTATATCTTTAGGTATGACAATCTTTCCATAATATTTATAAAATTTATTATTTATTTGTAATTTTTTTTTAAGGGCTACCCTGTATTGAAATTTTCCTTTTTGAAAACGAGGTATGACAATCTTTCCACCAAAACCCAACCCCCGTAGTTCACCAACCTAACCACGGCGCCAAACCCAACACCACCACATCATAACTACTCCATAGTTCAAGTGGCAAGTGATTTTGGGGTTAAAATAGTCACAAAATATAAAATAGGTTATTTAGTCACAACAAACAAAATATCACATTCAATCCATAATCATTACACGTTTCTCTCACAAAAAAAATAAAAAAAAACCAAAAAGTCAAAAAACTCTTCTCAAACCAAGCTTTTTAACTTAGGCTAAAATAGTCAAAAACACCTAAAAGTCAAAAAGCCAACTCACTTTCCAAACCAATCCATACCATAGCCAGGTGCCACAATTGTTGAGGGGAACAGTGTCATAAAGGAACAAAACAAGGTCCTTAATTGCTTCCTTTGAGAAAAAATTCAAATGTATGTTTACTGGGCAAAGCCTAAAGATGAGATTTTCTCTGAGAAAGAATATCATGGGGTGTTTGGCAAGTTAGATTTTAGATTTTTTTTTATTAAAATTTATAAAAAGATAAAATAAGTTAAAATAGTTAATAAGATAAAATGACATTATCTATAATCATTTTACTTTTTCTCTCACAAACATTACATTCAATTACAAAAAAATTCAATTATCTTTCCAAACACAAAAATTTTAACCTACTAAAATAATCAAAAATTAAAATAGCTACTAAAATAAGGGGGATTGTAATCCATCGGACTGTTAATCCTGGGATACATTGTCTCTGGACTATTTGGTTGGACTGAATTTGTATCCTATGTTTGTTTAGTCATGACATTAGATGTCTGGATTGGACTATTTTTAGTAAATCCAAGTTTGGTTAGACGGATTGGACAAGGATAAATGTTCAAAAGACTATTTTACCCTTATAATTTATAATTTTTATTTAATATATAATTTTAAATTAACAACACTAAAAAAATAATGGATTAATTACCAAAAAGTCTTATCTACATATTTGGTGGTAGCTTAGATCCTGTCAAAAAAAATTTGAACCATTAAGTCCCATTTATAGGTAAATCCCATTTATAGGTAAAAAGACGTTTTGCCCTTTAATCCCAAAACTGAGAATGTTTTCAATTTTAAAACTGAGAATGTTCTCAATTTATAATTATCAAAATTAAGAAATTTCTCAATTTTTTCTAGTATGAACTAAGAATATTATCAAAATTAAGAAATTTATAATTATCAATTTTGAGAAATTTCTCAATTTTTTTCATGATTAAAATTGAGAATATTATAAACTGAGAATGTTCTCAATTTCAAATAAGAATTCAGAAGAACAATGTAGTCTTTCTTCATCTCACTTGCCGGAGACGAAGCTCCCTTACGATCCATCATAGAATCATCCACTTTTCCCTCTTTTGCAGCCCAAGAAAAATTGACCTTCTGACCAAAGGATTCAGCAGAGAGAGCATCGAAGGCGCTGAAAATTGACATCAACATAGTCGTCACTCTTAACTACTTACTGGAGTTGAGTGGAAAAAGAAGAAGAATATTTTAGGAAATTATGAGTGAGAGATTGTTGGTTGTGGTTCCGATGATCCAAGTGAAGATGGAGTGGGGGTACATAAAGAGAAGAGCGAATTTGAGAGGTTTCTAGAAGGAAGGACGGCTAGAGAGAAAGAGAGAGAAAGATGCAAAGAAGGTTCGACTTCGGAAAGGTGGGTTGGATTGGGACTGTTCTGCGATTCTATTGAACGGACGGAACTGGAAGTTACAATAAACTTACCATCGCAAATGAATTCAAGAGCAGAAGTCATGATCTCGAACTGAAATCCAGATTCGAAGTCGAAGAGTGACCTGTGAAATTGATTGATCGAGCTTCAATCAACGACGAATCAAGACCCAGATCGAATCACCCATGTTTGTCGAACTGAAGTTGCGTAGAACTTCAAATTACAACTGTGAAGAGAGAGAGAGAATGAAGACAACAATGATGTTTGGCAGCTATGAGAAGGTCTTGGAAGGATAAATTGGGCTATTAAAAATTAATGAGATTTGAAGGAGCAAATAATTTTATTTAGGACTTAATGAAGTATAAGTTCACAAAATGAGACTTATATGTAAATGTCCCAAAAATAATTTTATTTAATATATAAATTTAATTTTTTAACAACACTAAAAAAATTATAAAGCCATAATTTTTAATTTATTATTTTTTATTAAATTTAATTTATAATTTATAATTTATATTTAATATATAATTTTAAATCAACAACACAAAAAAAAATAATTTATAAATATTCAAAAGACTATTTTACTCTTTTCCAATTGTTTATTAAGTAATAGCATGATGGTAAAATGGATATTTCATACATTAGTCTCATAGGATACTAATCCCATAGAAATAATCTACCCCTCCCCCTAGGATACAATAATCCCTCATATGAGGGACTAATAGTCCCGCGGGACTACTAATCTAGAGTAAAAAAATTGAATCAAACAATGCACTATTAATCTGGATGGACTAATAGTCCAATCCCATGGAATAATTCCTCAAAACAAACACACTCTTACTATGGCCTATTTTGGAAAATAGGTTAAAAGCCACTTTCCAACTTTTACCCATTTTTCTCTTTCACAAAAAAATTATAAAAAATCAAAAAATAACTTTTAACCATCTTCTTAAAACACCCTTACATTGGGCATTTGTTTTTTTCAAATGGGGTGGGAGAGGGTTTATCTGTCTTGCTTTCTCTTTAAGGGGGGTGAGAGAGGATTCATCTTTCTTGCTTTCTCTTAAGATTTGGTCTGAGAATAAGTTATGCTAATAATTTTTTGGTTAAAATATTAGGGGTGTTTGGAAATTGGATTGGGCTAAAATAGCTAACTAAAAAATAAAATAAGTTAAAATAATTAATAAGGCAAACTTTTACATTTAACTTATAATCATTTTACTTTTTCTCTTATAACTATTAAATCAACTAAAAAAAGAAGCCAACTAACTTCTCAAATACAACTATTTTAGTTAGGTTAAAATAATAAAAAAAAACCAAATAGTCAACTTTCCAAACAAGGCTATTATGTGAAAAAAAAATTAGATGTTTGGGATATTTTTTAAATTTTTTTATTTAAAAAAAGTAAAAAAAGTAGAGAAGAAATAAAATTTTTGACTTATTTTTTTATATAATTTTTTGATAACTTTTTAACTATTTTAAAAAAATTTCAAACTTACCCTTAATCTCCCTTGGGTGTTTTTTTCCCTCACCTAAGATGCCATTAGCTCTCTTCTCCAATTCAATTTATGATTTGTGTTTTGATTTGGATTGCAATATGGGTTCTGATTGATGGTTTTTGCCACCAAGGGTAGGAAGAAAAAAGTGGATGACGAAATGACATATTTGAGTAGGCATGTTAAAAGATAATTTTTTTTATTTTTTTTAAATGTGTAAAAAAATAGATATGTGATATGATTTAAAAAAATTAAAAAAATAATAAACTCACATTTTTCAAAAATAGGCCAAAGTCGTGTGTAAAAAAGAGATAATATTATTTTATTTATTTATTTAACTCACGAATTAAAGATAAAAAAAGAAAATTAAGTATCACATGCATTATAATTTTTTAGAAATCTAATATAATTATATCAAATTTCTATGAGCTATTCTATTTTTTTTCTTCTAGGAAAATTTATGTAAGATAGTGTTTGGGAAGTTGGATTAAAATAATTGATAATGACAAAATAGACTCAAATAATTAACAAAATAAAATATTATATTCAAATCATAATTATTTTATTTTTTCTCACAATCACCAAATTTACTATAAAAAAATTAATTGCTATTCTGAATATAACTTTTTTAACCAAATTAAAATAATTAAAAAAATTAAAATATCAAATAAAATAATCTATTAAAAAATGAGGCCATATGTATTCGCGTAACAATAATGATAGAGACCATTAATTTTAGAGTTCTAAAAAGATACAACATCAAAGCCAAAAAATCAAATCATTCATAATGGACTCACTGTCACATTATTAGTAATAACATTAATGAGTGCTCTCACTTATTTCCCTTCGCCTAATTATACTCTCCCACCAATCAGTAAGTGCCTTATATTGTTGAATGTACTTCACATTTACGACCAATCATGCTATTATACCCAATAATCACCCATTACGTAGGTAGTATGAGGCCACCCGCATGTCATGTAAGCAACTCTCCGCATTCACATGTTGAGAGAGAGAGAGAGAGAGAGAGAGAGAGAGGAGAGAAGAACAAGCCAACTACCAAATTTGACTAGCAAATGACAACCAATCATGAAAAGAGCGCTTTTCTTGCAGGCTTTTGCTGTTGTTGTTAGTTTGAGGTTGCAGTAAAACTCGCTGCCCTCCTCAACCTACATCCCCTCCCCTTTTTTATCCCCTTTCCACCATTTTTTTTTTTTTTTTTTTTTTTTTTTGGTGGACGACCCCACCATTATTCTGATTTTTTAATTCCCACCTCTATCATCAGACTTTGGTGGGGTCTTGATCGGAGTCACCTGGAAAGCAATTATGGTGAATTTGGGTTTTTTCAGGGAATATTTTGGCTTGGATTGTCAATGATGTGATCCGGGGAAAGAGGGTCTAATTTTCCCGGAAAATCTGGAGGTGGGTGTCCACGATTTCTTGCTCTTGAGGAAAAATTTAGGAGAGGGTCTTGTGGGTTTTCATTTTTGAGGGCAATTTGGAGGTGGGTATCTAGTGTTTTGATTTTCCGGGGAATTTGATAGGCAGATTGAAACTTTTGATTATTGAGAGAAATTTTGGTTCGGAGTTTTTAATGCTTTTGCCAATTTTGGGAAATTTTAGGGAAAATTAGGAAGTGGGTATTGGAGGTTTTGAAATTTGACGAATTGGTCTTTGATAATTTGATTGAAAGTCTACAAACTTTGTGAGCAAATAATTGATTTGTTTGTCGTATGGTTTGTTTGTTGGGTCTGTCAAAGTTATCGAGATCTTTAACCAGTAATATATAGACAGTCCCATCAGATTTGGTTTTTCTATGAAAATTTTGTGAGGGGTTTATGGTTTTCAAAGGGCCTCTCTCTCTCTCTGTCTCTCTCTTCAGATTATTTTCTTGGATTTCTATCAGAGAACAGTGACATTCTGACAGTTTCACCCAATTGCTTTTGGATGTATATGCAAGTAAAGCTTTATTGTGGGTTTTACTTAGTTTGGTAGAACATAAAGAATTTCTGATTAGAGAAAAGTATCATGCATCTCTTTTCTCTTTCTTCCAATTCATTTCTATGATCCTTTGAATGGGTTCAGGATCATAGAATAAAAGTTGTTTGAATACATACCAGAAAATGTATATATGTGGGGTCATAGCATTGCTTCATTTGTGAAATTTGAGAATCTTTGTGCAGCTAGAAAAGGAGACATATATCTTTCTTCTCTCTTTCTTGAATTTCTGGGTTGTAAATATATTTGAGAGTCATGAGGTTTTTAAGTCTGGTGGGTAATTCCTTTGGATGCTCGGCATCTGGAGAACGCCTTGTCTCGGCTGCTAGAGATGGGGATCTTCAAGAAGCCAAAGCTTTATTGGAGTACAATCCCCGTCTTGCGAGGTATTCGACTTTTGGAGTTCGCAATTCACCCCTCCATTACTCTGCAGCTCAAGGCCATCATGAGGTATCTCAAAGTTCATTCTTGTCTGCAAATGTTTACAAAAAGATTTAAGTCAATTCTGAATTTGTTGGTATTTTAATGATGATAATGGTTTAATTTTTCTTTTCTTCAGATTGTCTCTCTATTGCTTGAATCAGGGGTTGATATTAATCTCAGGAATTATCGTGGGCAGGTATGATGATCTTTGCTTGTCTGTCTCAGTGAAGTTATTGGTTCTTTCTGTGATTGGTTCTGTGTGTGAAGCCTTCTTGTTACTGATACCATTTTCCTGACACTTTCTGAATACCCAAACAAGTTATCAATTGTTTAAATACTAAAAAATTCAAGAACTGTGCTCTTGATTCCCATGAACAGACTGCTTTAATGCAAGCTTGCCAATATGGTCACTGGGAGGTTGTTCAGACTCTGGTTCTCTTCAAAGCCAATGTATGAAGCATTCTAAGCCAGTTTTTTTTTTTTTTGGTACTTGATTTACAATCAATAATTTAAATATTTTGGCTATAAGATTATCACACTTGGATATTGAATGTTAGATACACAGAGCGGATTATCTTAACGGAGGTACTGCACTCCACTTGGCTGCTTTGAATGGACATTCTCGATGCATTCGGCTTCTCATTACAGATTATATTCCTAGCATTCCTGATATTTGGAACATCTTAAGGAAAACCTCAAAAAATGAAGATTCTATCTCAGAATTCAATGAAGGGTAACTTCATGTCAAAGTCTGCTTGTACTTTTTCTTTTTATCTTTTTTGGAATAGTTTTTAGTTTCCAGAAAGGTAATGAAGGTTAACTTCATGTCGAAGTCTGCTTGTACTTTTTATTTTATTTTATTTTTTTTAGTTTCCAGAAAAGCTGATGCATTTATCCTTTTTTACTTTGCAACAGCGCACTTCTTCAGATAATTAACAAACCTGCTGACGGAGGCATCACTGCCCTTCATATGGCTGCATTGAACGGGCACGTTGAAACTGTTCAATTACTCCTGGACTTAGGAGCTTCTGTTTCTGAGATCACAATGGAAGATGGAACTACGATTGATTTAATTGGTAAACGCCTTCATTTTGTTTCTTTCTATTTAGTTATCATCATCTGTTATATCTAATTTAACGGTTATTACTGTTTTTAATATATTGGTCATATCAAGAGTTCATTTAATATACCATGAATAATAAATTTATGCCTCAATATTGGTATGTTTGGGGCGATCAAAGAAATCACTGATTAGTCCTTCCATTCACCTTTTTTCTTTGTCTTGTCAATGACTTTTTATCTTACTAGTAAAGACTAAATGTCCTTACTGAAAAGTTAAGGAATAGACCTATGAGGAAACTTATTTAGTTAGCTGTTAGATTAAAATGAGATACCAAAAGAGTTTGATAGCTGAGCCATGTGATTTAGGAAACTCTCAAGTACGGTCAAAAACTCTTTTTTGACGATTGAATGCACGGCTATAGTTATGCCCCTAGACATAAAATATGAAATTGAAAAATGAGGAAGTCTTTCACATCCAACTAGAACAATGAGTAACCTCCCCAGTTCGACTCTCCCTCTTCGAACAAATGATCTTCTGCTGTTGTGGTGTTGCCGTCTTCTTCTTCTTTTTTTTTTTTTGGGACATTGGCATCCCAATCTGTTACTATCATAGTGAAATAAATTTATGACATGTGGAAGTAGTCATACTGTTGATTATCTTATTATGCCCAAGGCTAAGCCTCTTATTTGTCAAAGTAAAAAAAAGGGTTGCTTAAGGTTGAGCCATTCACAGCTTGAAATGATTGGCTTCATTTTCATCATTTTAAAAGATCTTTTTATGTATTAAAAAAAAAAAAAATCATTTTGAAAGATCTTTTTGGCTCTCTGATTTTGATTTCTAGACTACAGGTTCAGCTATTATATGGGAGACAAAGAAACATGTAAATACTTCTTCGTAATGTGTCTGAGTCTGTAGAACTTGATACTTGAACTTCAGGTGTTTGTCTTGTGTAGAATGCTTTTCATCCCCATGGATTGCATAAACATTGCAGAACTTGTCTGAGCACAAAATTTGCCAAGGACTTGTCCACAGATTTTTAGCTAGAAACATGTGAATTTCAATGGTGGTGCTCTCTCTATCTGTGTCCCCCACTCCCTCTCTCCTTCTGCTAGCTTCAGGCCTTTTGATTGAAAAAACTAATTCTGTTTACAACTTGGTATAGTCAGTTAACATTCTATTTCTAGTTTTATTTCTAGAGGTTGGTGACTTTTGAAATGCATGAGTGCTATTTTAACTCATTGTTGAACTTTTTTCGTGTGATTTGTCGGAACCATTATCAAATTCTAAATGGTTTTAGTCAAAGTACACATTTTGTCTTGCCTCGTAACTGGCATGCAATCTAATTATTGCCTTACATTAACCTGAAAAATTCTCTCTCGAAAACCGAAAAAGTTATAAAAAGTACACACCTCTTTCTCTCCATCATTCAATTATTTACTTTTCTTGTACACAGTTTTCTTTTTGCATTTTCTTTATTGTTTTTTCTCCATTCTTCTTTCTTTGTAAATCTCTCCATCTATTTCAATGTTTTATTCCTCTGTCTATAACACCACACTTTCTTCAGCTCAAACTCCTCCACCGTCATCACCTTTGTCATCAACCAACCATCATCACCTCTGTTACCTTGTGCTGCCACAACCACCAGAACATCTCTCACAATGGGGCTCTTATCTATGCTAGACTCACTGCCAACCACCACCCTTTATCACTTCCCAGCCATTGCATAATCACCTCCCTCACCTCTCCGCCACCACACAACCAAAAACCCTCTCTTCTGTCTCAACCACCTCTTTACCCATCACCATTGCTCAGCCACCACCCCAACCGTGCACCACTCTCATACCCACTATGCATCACCTCTCCAATCTCCCCTTTTTCCTCACTAAATCTCTTTTATCTCTATCCAAAACCCAAACCTGCCACTTACGTTCCATGGACTCTTCAACATAAATCAAACACCAATGTCGGACACACAACACTTGGATAAGAGTGTGGGATATGTGATTGATACATTCCATCGGACACTGTTTTATATATTTGTATTGAACACTATCATTATATGTATATATTGTTCTGTAATTGCTAAAAAATGTGTACTATTTGGGCGTTATTTTCCAATTGCTATAAAATGAGTAAAATTCATTTTTGACACTATATGTTGTATATAATATCATTTTATCACACATACTAGATGAAAAATATAGAATATGATCCTTTTTTGTTAAGTCTGTGTACCCATAAATTTGAGGTTTGATGGGTCGTACCTCTAGATATGCACCTACACCTGACGCTTGTACCCGAGTCCATGCATCATAGCCTATCACTAATTACCATAATTGCCTAACTTTGCAGACCTACCATGGCAACTGACCCTCCTTGCCAATGCCCCCATTAGAGACCTTTTGCTTGAGGAGTGCTTGCAGTGAGAGAGGAGCAACAGATTGTGGAGCTAGGGTTAGGGTTTGAAGGGGAATGAGGAGTTGCCACATTGGCGGGGGAGTGATGAGCTGTGGTGGTGGCAGATGCTGGATGGGTCTTCACCAAAGGTGAAGAGTGAAGGGTAGCGGAGAGGGAAGAGAGGGGTTGTGGTTGTGGCAAATGCAGAGGGGTACACCGGAGCCAGCGAGTAGAGAGAGAGTAGCAGGTAAAAGTATGTGTGTGGTAGTGTGGAGGAGGGAGGAGAGAAAGTGGATGTGGGAGGGAGGGAGAATTGGTTTGGAGAGTAGAGAAGAAAGATGAGAGAAACAAAGGAAAGGGGGACACTAAAGAGAGAAGATAGAGAAGTGCAGAGCACAACCGTCCTAACACCTTAAATGAAAGCGGGAACTACTTCATTACATGCATGATTGCTGCATGTTGAATAAGATAGAACTTTCGATCAACCTTCACCTCTGTGCTGGTTGAAGGGTTGCGTTCCCACGAAACATTTTGTAGGACCCATCCAATTTTGTTTTGGGCTGGATAACAAAAGTTGATAAGCAAACCTGAATGTTGGAGAAGAAATCTGACCATGAAATTTAAAATGGAATCAATCTAAGCCATTGTAACCAATTGTATCTCACAGACATTTTGAAAATGCGGTGTGTTTTATTATATATATTGACAAAAAATGTAAGATGAGTGCTCAAATTGGAAGTTTTGGTGTATTTTATTCAAATGAAATCATTTCTATTGACCATTTTAGTTTGTTGTAATGTGTATTCTATAGAGATCATAAAACAAGAGAGATGATTAGGGATCCTTGTGTCAATTTCCAATTTTGCTAATCCAATGAAAGAGAGGAATTCAACTTTCATGCTTTCATTAGGCTTTCCGCATTTGCTTTCAGTATTCATTCGTATCAAACAATTGAATGAATTCAGTGTTTCAAAGTCAAATGATATTGTTGCTTTTGTTATTTAGGCGCACAGATTTGAAGATAAATTTTTTAGATGTAAATGTCTAGGTCTGCATAGATATGTGATTTGAGCTTCTGATTAGATATGCACTTAGCTACCATAGCCATCAATTCAATTTTGTTATATAATTTAATTCAACATTGTCATTAAATGTATTTTTCGTGTTGAACGATTACTTTTAAAATGAGTAAATTACCTTTTTTGACACTTTGTGTTACGTAAAACACCATTTGTCCTACACCATATATTAAAATGAGAGAGAGAGAGAGAGAGAGAGAGTAAATTACTTTTTTTTGACACTTCGTGTTACGTAAAACACCATTTGTCCTACACCATATATTAAAATGACAAAGGCAGAGATGGCTATCATTTTTTTCTTTTTCTTTTTTTAAGTGCTAAAATCATTTGTTAAGCCCTTTTGTTACAAGTTACAATATGTGGGTAAGATTCAATTAAATACTTAATAATTAAACCGCCCATCAATCTGCTATGGATCTACAGTTTTGTTACCAATCTTTTTTATTTCACATAAAATTTCATTTTGTCACTTTGCAGGTGCAGGAAGCACACCCCTTCATTATGCTGCATGTGGTGGAAATGCACAATGTTGTCAGGTAAGTTTCTTTGTACTGCTTGAAGTTATTTATGTTGTTGGAATATAAGCTGAAATATTGGTAGTTTTTTTTTCATATTCAGATTTTGGTTGCCAAGGGTGCCAGCCTGAGCGCCGAAAATGGAAATGGGTATGCATGTCATATACTCAGAGCACATGTATTTTGATGAGTTATAGTGATTTTGTAATGTCTTCTTGTCATTTTTATTATTATTATTATTATTATTTCTTTTTTGGCTTTAGCATTATTTGTTAATCACTATTAAATTTTGTAATGTCAAAGCATCTTATATTCTTTGATTAAACAAGTTTGAGGTTTTTTTTTCCTTTTTTCAATTAAGCTATTGGTATATTTTGAATCATTTGTTAGCCATCATTTGGATCACTTTGAGATTGACTAGCAGGGTTGCTGCTTAAAGAATGACATAACAAGATACTTACACTACTTTCCTTGAGCAAGACATAAAATAAAATAAATGTGATATTATTAGCATGTCTACATTTTGATAGTGAGTGACATATGGCCTGTGCTTGTAACTAGCTTATGGGGACAAGGTAGTTAATCTTCCAATCTTACCATGCAGCATTTAATTCTCTAGTTCTGAGCATCTAAGCCATTGATATTTATGTTTTTCTGTCCAAATTACTCTCAAGTACCGTAATTGCATTAATGTTGATGAAGTGGTTGGAATGACTGAATCAATATCTTTTATGCCCGATTTAGGAGATTCTAATCTAATGTGAGTGAACAATCGAATAAAGTCTATCTTAGGTCAAATTATGTGCAATGGAGATGTGCCAGGTGTTTCACATGATGAAATGCATGGGCAAGTTTTTATGTGTGCATGTCTTGTTGCAACTTACTGTTATCATTTTGCTTCTTTTTGTTTCATAGTATGTTGAAGCATCTTGCCATGTGGTATTCCTCTTTATGGGTTTGTAATATTACGGTATCCAATGTTTGTTTTGTATTTTTAAAGATGGACTCCCTTGATGGTCGCGCGCTCATGGCATAGAGATTGGCTTGAGGAAATTCTTAGCACACGGCCAGAAGACCAGCCTCAACTTCTTCCTTCACCGTATTTATGTCTTCCTCTTTCGAGTATTGTCAAAATTGCTAGGTGAGCGGAGTTAACACCATTCTAGTTACAAATAAACTTCAATGCATCAACCTGTGCTCGGATTTATATAGAATAAATTTCATCCAGCATTTAAACCTTGGATTTCTTATTTCTGCCAGTTTTAGGTAAAGTTATTAACACCTCCAGGTTGCCAGCTTTTTCTTTTTGTTAAATCTCTGGATTTGGGTATCTTTAAGTTTGTTGCAAATGAATTTATGGGACATATTTTATAATATTTTGCTTAATATGGAAAATTGGGTAATGTTGTTTAAGGAGACATGATAATTTGCAAGGAAATTTATGCCCGGCCATCCAAGGTTTCAAGTGTGCTCACTCCCCAACTGAGCCCATACATCTTCACATGACACATGCTCTAGAGGAATTATTCATTGTCTTGTGAATATGAGATTTTTCATAACTATACTATGCTTCCTGTTTGAAATTCAGAACAATGCCGGACCACATTTGCCTACCAACATGCACATAAACTTATCTCCTTGTTACTCTGTCTAATCAGTAACTTCAAACCTTCATTTATACGTTAATCTGTTCTTCATATTGTCATTTTAGAGTTTTCTTGATATCTTCAAATTCAGCAAACAGAATAAACCTACAGAGAAGAATCCTAAGTATTAACGTCAAAAAAATGAAATAAATTTGGCTTTGGCTGATCTGCTTTCTTTTTTTTAGAACTACTTGTTTTCATACATAACAAAACAATTGGGTCTTTTGTCATTTGCAGAGAATGTGGATGGAGGTTCAGTGATAATACTCCTGCATGCTTAGACCCTTGTGTTGTTTGTTTGGAAAGAAAGTGTACTGTAGCTGCGCAAGGTACATTCCCTTCAAAACTTGCAAACTAGCAGCATAAGGATTCTAATCGATGTTTTTGAGTAAATTTTTTTTATAAAAAAAATGTTTGGATTCTTCCTAAATGTTAACATGTGAAATGATGCAGTTCAATGCCATCTAAATGTTAACATGTGACAATATATATGTTGATGCTTCAATTTACATTAAGCAGCAAACTTGGGTGTGGATTTAGCTGCTTGTTTATCATGTATTGCTTTCTTGTGATTGTATTCTCATGACCTACTTTGGACCTATGTTAACTGCTGTATTGATTTTTCACTAAGAGATGAATCCACGTAAATCAAATATATGTTCTTGATAATAATGTTCTTTAAAATTGTCAATAAATAAAAGAATAATAAAATAGTTGAGTAGCTGCCTAATCACAGACTGGCAGAAGAGTTCATTGATTGTTGGGATTCTGTTGGATTAGTATCTGCTTGATATTACATACTGGTGATGAAAATAATGGTCAAAATTTATGTGCGACAAGCCTTTAAAGAAGAAAAGCCTAACATGTGAAAAGTGAAAACAACTTTGCTCAGTTAATGCAGCTAAATATTTCTTGAATAGCTAGTACTTTTTCCAAAAAGAGGTACTAGTTGAGACTCTCAAGGTTTTTGTTTTACTAAATTATGTGAATGTTCTCTTGAGTCAGTGAGATATTAGTTTTTGTGTGAGTGTGTGCACTAAATATAAATTTTCTAAATTTCTACACATTTTGAGTATTGTGAATTATTTCAAGTTGCAACCATATGTGCATTGTACAATGTAGACCTAATAATTCTAGAAAGACAATGTCATTCTTTGCTTTTGTTTTCTATATCTATTCCTCCTCTGAACCGTTCTCTCTCTCTCTCTCTCTCTGTGCATTCGTAATTCATTGGCTGAGCTATTTGTGGCATCAAGTAATAAACTAATCCATAATTTAGAACAGTGGAACCAAACTCTGGTTTTCTTTGCCTTGATTTTCAAATGCTAAATGTATCCATCATTGGCCAACATATTTATTGGCTATGGTTTTAAATAAGAGTATTGGGATATATATCAGTATTGGCGATTTGGCGATACATAGATGAATAATGGTATTGGAAGTCCAAAATCCCGATATGTAATGGCGATAGGATACGTAACAGGGCTGTCATGTAAGACCCTGATATTGACATAAAATGCCTCTTGTTTCAGGTTGTGATCACGAGTTCTGCACACGGTGTGCCCTCTACCTCTGTTCCACAAACAGCACCTCAACCACAGCTCACGGCCCCCCAGGCTCAATCGCGTGCCCTCTCTGCCGCCATGGAATAGTATCATTTTTCAAGCTTCCAGGCACCGGGCCACTACTTAAGGAGACAGCAAGAACAAGTTTGTCTTTATCACTTTGTTCCTGCTCAACCGAGGGCCCAGAAACCGCTTCACTCGAAACCCCGTTTTGCAAGCCAGACTTCCATTGCTCTCGAATTTCGCCACTTGGCTCTTCTTTCCGTTCCTTGAGCTGCCAACGGTTTCCGTCCGTGAAACTCAACCCTAGCCTTTGCATGGGAGCTCCAGACACAAGTCCTTCTCTGGTTCGTAGAACTAGCATTGACCAGAACTTGAGGAACCAAATCGCTAGGTGTTCAAGATCCAGCTTTAGGCGTTCGACTTCTGATAATGAGAGCCGAAAATCATGGTTTTGCTCTTTCAATCAGTGCGTAGCAACCGGCAGCGGATGCTGAAAATATCCATATATTTTCATGAAAATGTTTGTCTTTTCTTTTGGCTTCTACCTGTCCATAATCTAAAGGTTTGATTTTTTTTTTTCGTGGTGAAAATTATTGGGTTTGTAAATACCAGACATTGAATACATGCTATTTGACAGAATCCTTTTGGACTAATTTGTTATATTTTTACCTTTCCCTCTCTGCAACTGCCTGAAAGTAAAATATTGGCCAATCCATATTAATATTTTATGAAAGATAACTTGGAAAATTTAATTATAATATATAAATTTGTTGGGCTAACTTTCAAGTTTTGCAGAAAAAAATTTGAGGTCTTTTTAACTGTTTTCATTCTTTTATATGTTTTTATAATTTTTTGAGTTGCATAGACAAGTTTTTTTTTTTTTTATGTTGATTTGATTCTTTTTTTTAAAGGTGGCTATGTGTAAGGGTGTGCCAAAAAATTAGACATCTCGCACCAATTCAGCCTAGGTTGGACTGGTTGAATGATAAAATTGATGCCTCAACAATTCCTCTCAATTTTGCTATTTTGGTTTGGTTGTTTTTTTTTTTTTGAAGGGTGATTATGTGTAGTGGTGTGTCAAAAAATTAGACATCCTGTACCAACTCAGCCTATGTGATTTGATAAGGTGAGTGAGTTGGGTTGGATGGATGGGTGGATATAAACTTGACTGATCAGTTAGATTGTTGAGTGATAAAATTAATTAATCAGTTAGGTTACTGGTTAACATTTGTTAATTCCATATAGTTTTGTACGAGTATCCGCAAGGAAATTGAAATATATATATATATATATTTTTGAAAGGTGGTTACGTGTAGGAGTGTGTCAAAAAATTAGATATCTTGCACAAACTCAGTTTGTGTAGTTTGATAAGGTGAGTGGGTTGCGTTGGACTAGTTGGGTGATAAAATTGACTGATCAGTTAGACTGCTGGTTAAAATTTATTACTTCCAAATAATCAATTAGGCTAATGAGCTGGTGCGAGATGTCTAGTTTTTTGACACACCCCTTATACATAACCACTCTTCAAAAAAAAAAAAAAAAAAACCAACACAGTCCAACAAATAAAAAAAAAAAAATTTGAGACTTATTCGAGTCTCAGAATTCGAGACCTTTACTACTGCTATTATAAAAATAATTCACTTTTAAAACTATTTATCAAACTAACCATTTTTTTTAAAATCACAAATTAAAAATCCACTTTCATCTTAAAATCGCAAATTCAACGTGCGATTTTACGTTGACATAACCCTTTAGTGCTGGTTGACATGTACCCATGTTGCGGACATAACATGTGATTTTAAAATTGCAACTTAAAGATGCCATTTTGTAGTAAATTAGATTTTGAAATTGCAATTTAATAGTCAATACACTTGTGGAAAAAAAATCAAGTTTCAACATTTTATTGGTTTAAAAAAAAAAAAACTCTGTATGGGTTAGTTTCCAATGAAAGCGGTACAAAGAAAGTAAAATTAATTAACAGTGTAACTAAATTTTTTTATTAATTACAAAAAATATAATAAAATATAAGAAAATTTGAATGTGAACAACTTATTTATGGCTAAGATTTTAAAATTTTCTTTTTTCTTTTTTCTTTTCAAATTTTTCATCTGATTTAAAATGTTTGTAAAAAAAATATTTTTTCTTTTCCTTAAAATGTTGATATGGGTTTGAATTTTGCTAACAATTAGGGGTGGTTATTCACCTGGCCGAGTTGGCACTATCTAATAAAGGATTTTGTGTCTGCCCAAACCCACCCAGCTCGAACATCGAGCCTATATAATCATCCCAAGCCTAGTCTTAATATCAATTATAATTCTCTAGCCTGGCCATCGAACTATATACATAAGCTATTGAAAAAAAAAAAGAACTAAACACACCCATAATTTATAAGTTGAAATTTTTTAAAACCAAACTGTTAGTAGTACATCAAACTAAAATATATTTTTTTTAAAAAAAAATCATGATTTAAATTTCAAATTTCTTCCTCTTTCATTATCATCTTCTGAAGACTTAAAATCACCTTTAAATATTGTTTCCGATGATACTAAGTTTCCTACCTAAAAAAAATATCATGATTCAAAGGTAAAATTATAACTCACAGGTGAAAGTTCACAATGCAATTTCACTAGGCAATTGAAACTTGAATTTTTTTTCATAAATTCATCTTCAAAATCTGATTTCTCTATGAGTTGTAACTTCAAAATCCAATTTCATAATAAAAATGTAACTTCAAGATGCGATTTCTTTATGTTATGTCAGCACCATGTGGACATGCAAACATGAATTGCTGGTTCAAATTGTGATTTCAAGGTGAAAGTGGATATTGAATCTATGATTTCATAGGAAAATATTTGGTAGTCCAAAATTTTGTGGCTCAAATAGCTCAAATCTCTCAAAACCTGTCAAAACGACGTCGTTTTATACTCAAAACGACGTCGTTTTGAGTGATTTGAGCCATTTGAGCCACAAAATTTTGAGCTACCTAGCATTGTTGGATTTCATAAAAGCAATTAGTTTGATAAATAGTTTTAAAAGTAGATTATTTTCATAAATAGTTTCATTTTTTGAAATATTCAAAAATTAAAAAATAAAAAACCAACAACAACAACAACAAACAAAGCAGCTGGCAGCCTACATTGTCAATGACAGTGTAGGCACAGTATTTTGCCAGTCTACTCCCATAGGCAAAAATGACAATTTTGCCCTTGTAGACTAATTTTGGAAAAAATAAACTTAGGATAAATTTGTTATTTTAACTTCAAATATCATTTTAAACACATTTTTTAATACAACAACTAAAATAAAAATTTACCATATCTTCTCAAACACAATAACACCATCCTATCTTCCCAAATACAATAAAAATTCATCATATCTTTCTAAACATAAAAATTAAAATAACTCATTAAAATAATCAAAAAACTAAAAAAATTCTTAAAATAGTCACTTCCCAAACGCCTACTGTGTTTGGATGTTGGGTTTGATGATTTTTCAATTTTTTTGGGGTAAGTTACGCCAACACCCCTAAAAGTATGATTATTTTCTTACTTTGGTTCCTAAAGAAAAAATTGTCTCGCTTTAGGCCCTAATTCTTCTACTTTGGTTTAAATTTCAATGAGCATTGTACTTTTGTGATGGAAAAGATCATGTAGCTTGAGTTGACCTCGACTTAACCTATATCCAAGGGCAATCCACAAAAATAGAGTAAATTACACTTTTACCTCAAAAGTTGGGTTCTTTCTCACTTTGAACCCTAACTCCCAAAAAATGGTCTCACTTAAAAAAACTAGAAATAAAAATCTCTCAATCACAACTTGTTGCATCATCTATTAAATTGTTTTCATCCAATACTAGAACCTTCACTCTTTTATTCTCTCATTCTCCCCATCTCCTTGCATTCCTTTTTATCTATCATCTTCTCACTCTACTCTCACAACTAACCACCTCCATTTCCCTCGTCTCATCTCCACAACTCACTACCCTCTATCATCCCAATCCATTACCTGATCTCTTTTATTAGCTCTCAAATTTTGATTTGCATCATCTTTGTTCCTCAAATGATGCATGCTACTATGATTTTTCAGTTTCATCGATATAAAGTTGCTTTTTTAGATTGAGTGAGTTTGGAGATGAGTTTTGGCATGGCGATGGGTTTTGGAGTAGGGATGCATATCCACTAGCATTTTTGAAATTTGAAGAAAATACATCAAACCTCACAAGTTTAGAATAATTACATTATACATTTCAAATCTTTAATTCACATGACTTCTTGCCCACTTTTAATCAATTATTTATTAATCGTATATACAGAATAATAACATTATCATTTCATCTATACTAACTAAACAGATTAAACAGTAGTATATTCTTTTATTTTATATATTTTTACTAGGCAAAATGCTTCAAGTTGGAGTTGTTTTTAGGGAGACTTACATATAGGTCCTAATAGGTGGACTTATTATCCAATAGGTCCGGTAGGAATTAATGGCATTTTTCATCAAATACTTTTAAAAAAAATCACTAATTATTAATTTTCAGCGGCAGTTTGAAACTTTTGTCACAAAAAAATGTCACTAATTATAAGTTTTAGCAATAATTTTAAAAAAGCATCACAAAAAAAAAATCATTAATTTTTAATTTTCAACGACAGTTTAAAAAATTCGTCACAAAAAAAGTTACTAATTATAAGTTTTAGCGATAACTTTTAAAAATTGTGACAAAAAAAAAAAGAAAAATAAAAAGTCTAATTGTCAATTTTTAAAAACGTGTAAAAAATGTCATGAAAAAATTATTTTTAATAATAATTTTATTCAGACTTATTTTTAATATAATTTAATGTGAATGAATTTCAACTATCGGACCTAGAAATAGTTAACCCTTATTGTCATTTTAAGGCCTTGTATTCCTTTTTTTTTGTCATTAAACCCAACCAATCATCAAGTGCCAAGCATTTGGCCTAGTGATAGAGATGTTTCACTACTCGGCATGACATTGGATTCAGTCTTACCGTTGTGAATGCAATTTTTCTTTCATTATTCTCTTGAGTCTGGTTGATTTAAAAGAAATAAATGACAAAAACTAAATAGAAATTCTACAATGCATATTGTTCTTGGGGGTGTGTATCATATATCCTCCGGTCACGATGTTGTGATATTTAATTATGACTTATTATAGTGTTAATTATGACTTGATTATACATATTGTGGTGTTAGTTATGATTCATTCTAATATTGGTTACAACACTATTTTAGTTATGGTTTAAAATTTTTTTAATTATATCTTATGTAATATTTAATTATAACTTGAATTTTTTATTTTTTAAAAATTATAGGATGGTTGCGTATAACGATTCTGATTTTGACCCGACCCTTTCGAGCTCTTAGATCTGGGACTCTATACTTTTAATTATTGTTTATGCCATTTATCATCTTGTCGACAGCTGAGTTGAGTTGTTGGTTATATTTGAAATAGGTTAGGAGTTAGTTTTTCAATAGAGTTGCTGTCTGTTTCACTTTTGGTTCGCTCGAGTGATACTTTGGTCACTCGAGCAGTCTTTGAGATCTTTTAGTATTTTTGCAAGTCTGTAAAACTTCTAGGAATGGATGATCTTCTCTCGAGTTATCTTTTACAGGTCTGAACTTCTGCGAGAGGTCATTGTCCGCTCAAGCGATGTTTTAGTCACTCGAGCTATGTCACTTATTGTGTTTGATGC